AAAGTTAAAGTCCTAGGTATTTTATATGTTTCGGCAGCTAATTTTTTTGACATACCCATTTCAACAGCTTCTATGGCTTTTTCGATATTTTCTTTAGAATAATCTTGATAGGGCTTTGCCCCGGGGGTTCTCTGGTACTTTCTTACCATCTTCACTGACTATTTATCTGAAACAAACGAGAGGGGCCTAAAAATCCACAAAAACAAAAATTACGTCATAGGTGACCAAGTTGTCCCAGATTACGGTAATTTTTATTTATGTAGACAGTATATTAGTTAAATAAAAACATAAACTACGAACCAAAATCAACTATTTAATATTTGTAAAGTTAAAAAAAATAATAAATCGTATTTAAGAAACTGGTTAATTATGCTTATATTCAAGGAAAATTATAACAAAATGTTGGTAACTTTATGATAAATTCATTTGTTGAAATATTATGATCAAAACTAAACTTTCCCATGTAAAACAAACACATTAATTTTGTATTTAGTTTTAGTAATAATAAAAATAACATTTGCATAGAACACTTTCCATAAAATACCGCAAACATGTCAACCTTAGACATTGTTTGGGATGACAAAAAATTTCCAATACAATTATATTAGTTTGAATAAGCATTTTTGGGCTGATAGAACCGCTAAAAAGTTACACATCAACAAATCATTATAGTAATCGTAAAATTAATTGTAAAAAATAAAAACAACTCATAATGCGTTGAGTGGATTTAGCAATAAATAGTTGAGTGAGTTGCAAGCCGCTAATTAACACAGTTCTCAAGTTTAGTCTCGAATGTTAATTAAAGCTAGGTACATTCATGTACATATTCTCGTTTTTATTAGTTTATTAGTATGTTATTTAGTAGAGCATCTACTTGCGTTCCATTAGTTGTTAGATTTGTTTGAAATTAATGCTCTAATAAATTCAGAATGTACTAATAATAAACTCTAGAAAGATCCCGGTAATCAACTGAAAGATTAGCGGTTGGGGCTGAAATGTAAATTGAGTACGAAAATTGTAAAGATATGTACTTTATTTTTTACAAAGTCAATTTATTGGTGATGGGTTTCGAAGTGATTACCTTATCTTCAGGCATACCTAAATGGAAAGTCATGGAGTCAGCCTATTGAAATTATTTAATACAAAAATGGAAATTTAATTTAAAAAATAATTCAACAAAAAGCCAAAGGGGAGGGTAATAATAATTTGACGTATTACATTATTGTGTATTAATAGTTTTATTTTATTAACGTTCAATAGTAGATTTCTTTATTTTCTTTCAGTTAATTTTTACATTACATTACAGTTACCTACTTTCTAGTTGGTTTTGACTACTCACTATCTTACCTCTATAAAATATCTGATTTATAACTTGCACTTCATTTTACTTTTAATTTGTCCAGTCCTGATTTTATAAAAATTTTTAAAATGTTTGTTTGGCGAAAATTGTACTTGTAATGTTTTTGTTAATGTAAATATTGTTTTTGGTTTCTTCAACCTTATAATGTAGTTTGGTTTGGGTTTCTCAACCATTATAATATAATATAATATAATATAATATAATATAATATAATATAATATAATATAATATAATATAATATAATATAATATAATATAATATAATATAATATAATATAATATAATATATAATATAATATAATATAATATAATATAATATAATATAATATAATATAATATAATATAATATAATATAATATAATATAATATAATATAATATAATATAATATAATATAATATAATATAATATAATATAATATAATATAATATAATATAATATAATATAATATAATTATAATATAATATAATATAATATAATATAATATAATATAATATAATATAATATAATATAATATAATATAATATAATATAATATAATATAATATAATATAATATAATATAATATAATATAATATAATATAATATAATATAATATAATATAATATAATATAATATAATATAATATAATATAATATAATATAATATAATATAATATAATATAATATAATATAATATAATATAATATAATATAATATAATATAATATAATATAATATAATATAATATAATATAATATAATATAATATAATATAATATAATATAATATAATATAATATAATATAATATAATATAATATAATATAATATAATATAATATAATATAATATAATATAATATAATATAATATAATATAATATAATATAATATAATATAATATAATATAATATAATATAATATAATATAATATAATATAATATAATATAATATAATATAATATAATATAATATAATATAATATAATATAATATAATATAATATAATATAATATAATATAATATAATATAATATAATATAATATAATATAATATAATATAATATAATATAATATAATATAATATAATATAATATAATATAATATAATATAATATAATATAATATAATATAATATAATATAATATAATATAATATAATATAATATAATATAATATAATATAATATAATATAATATAATATAATATAATATAATATAATATAATATAATATAATATAAAATATAATATAATATAATATAATATAATATAATATAATATAATATAATATAATATAATATAATATAATATAATATAATATAATATAATATAATATAATATAATATAATATAATATAATATAATATAATATAATATAATATAATATAATATAATATAATATAATATAATATAATATAATATAATATAATATAATATAATATAATATAATATAATATAATATAATATAATATAATATAATATAATATAATATAATATAATATATTCTCTCGGACATAATTTTTAATATATTTATATAGAAATACCCTTTTTACCAAAATAGGGTGGTTCGGCTCTACCTGTCTGCTTGTCTCTACCTGTATGCTTGTCTCTACCTGTTTTTTGTCCTGCTTCTACCTATCTTTAAGACTTTTTTCTTTTTTTGACTCAACTCTCCTTGCTTCTACGTCAGTATATTTTGTTTTAAATTTAAATAAAACATTATGTACATTTTTATTCTTTTAACTTTATTCAACTTCATTATCTATTATATATCAATTTATTAATAACTAGTCATTTCTCCAAAAATTAGTTCAATTTATCCACTAACTTTTTCAAAATCCTCATCTGACATATCTCTAAAATTAACAACCCCCGACATTCTGATTTTCACTATTAATTTTGATTTCTAGAAACTTCAATACCCCAGTAAAATGCAATTTTGATATTAATTTTAATGTCGTCAGGAATGTCTATATCAAATTACCCATATTCATTGTTCACCCAGTATAGTTCTAAAATATACTTTGAACAATAAATTTTAAACTTCAATATCTTCCAAATTCTTTAAAATAAAATTTTTAACCTTATTATTAAATCATTTCTTTCACATGTTATTATTTTCCATTCATTTATTCCAGTTATATCAAACAAATCACATATTTTCTGTGTACTTTAAATCATTTTATGTTCTTAATTCCGTGTTTTTTGCTTGTTTCAAGATTCAAAAAATATCTCTCCCCCATCCAAGTTTTCCTACTTTTCTTTCACCTTTTGTCCTAACTCTCCTTTTCTGTCAAACTCCGATTTTTAAATATTTTCCCTCATTCTCCCCTATCTAATCTAATTTTTTTTATTCTTATTTTGCAACTGGTTTGATTTTACTTTACTATTACTTTTCTTATTTATTTTTATTACTCTAATTTTCCTTTTATCCCCCTGTTTTTATTTATACAAATTGTATGGATGGAACGATATTTTTAGAAGTGGCGTAGGTCAGTGCTACACTTTCAATGCAAACGGAAATGATATTTTAAAACTTTTCTTCCTCCTTTGACTCTCCTTGCTGCTATGTCTGTATCTTTTCTTTTAAATTTATATAAAACTGTATGTACATTTTTATTCTTTTAACTTTATTCAACTTCTTTATGTATTTTATAATAATTTATCAATAACTACTCATCTCTCCAAAAATTAATTCAATTTACCAACTAACTTTTTTAAATTCTAATCTGATTCCCAATAATAATAATTGTAATAACGTCAGGAATCAATATATTCACAGTGACTTTAAAACTTTATGTGCTAAAATTACGTAATGATAAGTCAAAATATTATTGGCCTTTTATTTCTCTTTTTTAAAAATTTTTTGTTTAATTTTCATTTTTGTATTAAAATATTCATCTTTTAATACATTGACTACATGACTTTCCATTTAGGTGTGCCGGATGATGAAGTAATTACTTCGAAAGTGGTGGCCAATAAATTGACTTTGTAAGAAATAAAGGACATTATAACCTTAGTACTCAATACCAATCACTCACATATGGCACTCCACCTTTGATGAAATATAACTGTAGTTTTCAATTAATTGTACGATTTACAACTATATATCCGTACAGTAAATTATAACAATTATTACCGACATCAAAACCCATGTTTAAGAGAATACCAGTAATTCCGAATTATTATTAATAGTAAACAACTTAGTGTATAATGTAATGTAATGTAATGTATTTAAATGTAAAGTGTAAATGAATGTACATATCCTGCAGAATAGCAGTAATATTGTTAAATATTATATTGAAATAAAAGATGTAAATGTCTACTGCAGTTTTATTCTTTTCAAAACACTCAGATATACGAGTATATATGTCTACAATTGAGTTGTTCCCTCGTATTCCAAAATATTTCATACTGTAGTTGTATCGTCTGGTGTCATGATTCACACGTTTAAAGATAAAAATTCAAGTTTTTGTATCATAGTCGGATCCGAGAATAGCATTGTATTGTGTGTCTATGAATATACTTCAAGCATTTTATTGTGAAATAAATTATTAAAAAATTGAGATTTATAATGCCTAAGAGAAAATACCGTTCCATTTTCTCAAGTTCAGAAAAGGGGACATCGTCATATAGGCATAGAGAAAAAAATAAATATGATAAATTATTTAAAAAGATGAGAAAATTGCAAAAACAAATTGAGAAGTTTTTGTGCGATAACCAAAACGAAAATTCTTCAAGTAAGTAGATAATTTTAAATGCATACAAGTATTTTTCAGATTTCGATTTTATTGTGAGGATGAATTTACTTTTATTTACATTGGCATTCGAATAATGGCATCTTTAATTTTTTATTCCTCATTCCTTTTTTTGATTGTGGCAAGCGAGTCTTGGCCGAACTGTTTATGATCACTTTTTTAGGTGATCGAGATATACAATCAGCTAGAAATATGCCAGAATTAGTGGATGTACACGCTGAAAATGCACATAAAAATGAGAACATGAATTCTCAACGGACAGCGGCGAATTCAAGCGGGGTGGCAGATGATACAGAGTTGCTCAATTTTATGGGAGAAGATTCATCTATGATTTTAAAAAAGGGGAATCCAGTACACGAGGGTATTGTATCAAGATTAAAGCATATTTTTACTAAGGCTCTCGAAAAAGACAACAAAGAAGAAATATTGACAAAATATCCCCCTCCAATAATTTTTAATTATATATTATAAAAAAAAGAATTAAAAGTTACAGAATTACATTTGTTACCAATGACATAGATTTTTAATTATGTTTAAACATCTATAGTATGAAATATTTTGGAATACGAGGGAAGAAAAATTAATAGATTAATCGACTTACCTGTAGGAAGACCAATCTAAATTGTTCGACCACCTATTCTGAAATATTTCATTCCCGCCCGACCCGAGAACACTTAAAATCTATGCAAAGATCACACATTTCAATGTACAATGATATTCTCGGGGCCGCCGGCTATGATACAAAAACTTGAAGTTTTATCTTTAAACGTGTGAATCATGATACCAGACGATACAACTACAGTATGAAATATTTCAGAATACGAGGTCGAACTATTTAGATTGATCTTCCTACAGGTAAGTCGGTTAATCTATTAAGTAAGTTTTATATGACAAATCATTTCGAGTTCTGTATCTGAAATGTAGAAAGGGGGAGTTGCTGTACATTAGTTAGGACTTACTGGACCCATTGTATATTTTCCAGGGGCATGCATGATCTACTTATTAACTTGTCGAAAACCTGCTGAAGAACACCTCAGGGAGAGCCAGCCTCTCATCTCGACTAAATTAATTATTTAAACTTAAATTATCTTTTCGAAAGGCGAAAATTTGGCACGTTTGCAGAAGAAACTGGCTTTCAAAACCTTTTTTTCCGATTCTTCGCTTAAATTGGGCTGTCCCCTAAAGGGCAGTTTAGTTAGTTTTCACCGGATGGGAACGGTTGGTTAGAATTCGCGCTTAGAACATTAACACGTTAAAAGCAGAAAGTCTGCACGAAGAAAACGATTTTACCAAATTTGCACAATATTCACAGCTCGTACGGATCCTACTGACTGCGCCAGTTTTATTTTTCTTAATGAAAAATTATTAAAAAAAATTAGAAGTACTTTTAATGTCTTTATTGAAGAAAGTCAAGCTTAACAATAAATATATTTTGCATTTAATATATACACATCTATTGTTTATGTTTAGGAAAATTTATGAAAGTATAATAAGATAAAGTTATTTACAGGAAGTCTTTGATTGTCTTTTTAACTATTTTAGCAACACATAACTAGCATTACTCGTGACTTGCAAATATAAGACAAATTTTTATAAAATAAATAAAAATATACCTACAAAAAAAGGATAAATTATATTATAATATAAAAATATTTTACTTTTTCAGTGTGTCATCCAGTTAAGTCGGCACCATATGATGAGAAACTTTTTTATTGTTAGTTTTATGGAAAAAAGTTATTGCTTATAAAAAGTTCTGCATGGTCTAATACTCAAAATACAACCATCATATGATACATTTTTTGAGCCGTATAGGAGCTGGGTCAAAAATATAAATTTTTCTCAAGGGTAAAGTACTTATATTTTTGACAAACTTCGTATACGACTAATAAAATTTGATATATGATGGCTGTATTTTAGTTTTTATGAAGAATAACTTTTTTTCATAAAATTAATAATACAAAAGTTTTCCATATGATGCCGATTTAATTGGACACACTGTATATTAAGCTATGCCCAATATAGATGAAAAAATAAATACTGAGTTTAAACAAAATTTAATGGCATATTAATGGTTATTAAAAAAAATACATGCTCAGTTAAACCCTTTGCTAAAAATTATTTTTTAAAAACAATAAAATATAATTAACAATATACCATTTTTTAACCACTATTTATGTTCACAAATATACCTAAATATCTAAAAAAAAGATTGAAACTTAAAAATAGATTACCTAAGCTGTCAGATATGGAAAATTTTTGTTATTAAATAGTCTTTCGAAAAAAGTTATTGATGAATAGTTCTGTCACAAATTAATTGAGAATATAATTTGTATAGTATTCATTAGTATTCAAGAGCAATAAAATATAAGGATTTATGGTGGAGAGTAAAGCACTTTCAATATAAAGTAAAATATTAATTGAAAATGTTTAAATAAACTAGAAAACATGATTTATCAGTGTACTTATTTTTTTTCTATCCTAGGGTATTGAAATTATTTAAATTTTACAAATTTGTTGCTGGATTTAAGTTTTTTAAGGGATGCAGAAATGTTTATAAGGAATAACTTTTTTTAACTAATTATAAAAGTTTCCATCTGCTAACCTTTTTAATTGGCAAATATTTTTTTGTCATCATCTGTTAAAGTTTTGTATTCAAATACCTCTATTAATCCAGGCCCAAATTTTATAATATTACTTGCCTATACTTTTCAAAATAAGAATTCCAGTTTTTAACTTAGAAATCTGGCCAGGCATTACAATCTAAAACAACAGACAATGACTTTAAAATTGTTGTCCATGTTTTAATGAGAAACTCTATTCAAATGTTTCAAAAAAAAAAAAAAAAATTGTAGCAAAAATATACAATAAAATAAATTTTAAATTTTGAATACACAATATTTTTTTATGCGTCATCGGCTTATTTCGCCTCGTGTTTAGTGTAGGCTTTGTTACTGTTTCCCAGCGCCACTTTAGGCCAGCACTCTTAATTAGAACCCAACAGATAAATTAAAATTGTCTGCCGTTGAGAACATTTCCTTCTACCCCGTAAGCGACGAAAATCTATAAATTTTGGAGCGATGGTAGAAGTCAGCATTCTATTACACATTCCTATAATTCTTCCACTTTCTATTTTTTTTGAAATCGTAATATAGACACTCTCCTAAAAAGTTATGCGAGTTATATTAACTTTAGTATATCCATGTATGTCGAAAATCATTTACATTATATACCTTAGTATAACATGATTCATGATTTGCTACTGAATATGAAGTAATCCAATAAAAAATAGTTAAATGCCGGTTGATAAAAACATTTTAACCAGAAAATGAGATACATCGAATTAACCGTTGTTTTGGCTAAAATCTATAAATCATTTGATGATTATATAAGGTAGAAGTATGTTCAGTTCCTCGACTTAATTACCAATTTATACCTATATTGCTTTGAGTTACAATCGATAGATGCTTTCGAGTTTATCATGTAATATCATGTCAAAGTGTCGAAGTAGTGGTTTTAACTGTAGATATGAAACAACTTTATACATCAAGAACATATATTATGCATCTACTAGAGTGTTAATCAATGTTGGGTACACCAATTTTCACAGTTGCAGTTTAGGACGCCCGAGGATAAACTCAGACTTCGTTGTGTAATTATATATTGTTAGATATGTTCTCAATATTAAATTCTGCTTATTTTGTTCAATTTTTTTTTTACCTGCAAATAATTATTTTTTATATTATGTACTTTAAATAAAGGAACCGTAAATACAATCATTATGCCTTAGGGTATAGGGAGAAAAGACGCAAATGTTACAGAACCAAATCGCTTATTCATTTTTAACAATTTTTAAAGTTTGTAAAACTAAAATGTTATTTTTTCACTGATATTAATTGGCCATGCGTTTTTTTTTCCTTCACTCATTTTGTTTGCTGTATAATCACGATTTCTTTTAGGTTTGAAAACTAGCATTATCGATTTTTCATTCGAAGTAATACAAGACGTCACGTTAAATTTCTACCTCTTAACAACTGACGGCAACACTGTCAGCTACTAGAGTACATACAGGTGCGGTATAAGCCATATAAATGGAAAATAATAATTAAAATGTTTTAATTGAGTTAAATAGAATATCAAATTTTTTTTTTTTTATTTTAATGTAATGATATTTTTAAATGTATACGTCTTCAATCAAAAATAATATAGGCTAATGCTCAAGTGTAAACGAATGTAGTGGACAAGAGATAATATTAAAGTTTACTTGAGTTTTTTGTATTAAACCATCGATCATTGTAATAAAGCCAGGAGTAAAATAGATATTTGTGTACCAAGGCTGTGTTTTGGCCGAATTAGACATTTGCGGCCGAGGTTAAGCATCTTATGGTTAAGTAGTTAAGAGTAATAGGCAAGAAAAGGTTGTTCAATCAAGATTGACATCGAGATAGATGTCTGATAAATAGGTGTACTGGAGATGAACTTTGCAGAACCCGGCATCAGATAGGTATAACACTTGATATTCTAAAAACCGTGCATAATACACTGAGTAACAACGAATAGAAATGTCAGAAGGAGGCTAAAGTCAAAAAATAGAGGGAACAAAGCTACTTAGATAGGTAAGTAATATTTTAGCCAGGAGAGAATCGATGAATGTTATAAATATAGTAAATTTATAAATGTATTAATGTATAATTTGTTTATTTCTATTTTTGGTATAAAACTATAGCTGACATAATAAAACTCTTAAAAGTTTATATATTTTTAATCCTTATTACTATAAATTATTTAGTTTTCATTTATTGCCCTTACCTAGGAAATAGGTTGGAAAACCCTGGTCACAATTGTTTACAATGTTGATATTCCTAATGATACAAAACATTACAGAGGAATGATACTTAACCGATAAAATCTCATCGAGTTCACGCATGAGACTTATTATGATACGGAATATCTATGATGAATATGCAGATTTAAATTTATTTTTTCCCGCTGTGTTTTCGATCAACTGATACCTCAAATTCATACAAGCCACGTCTTCGCACCAGAATGTGATATTCTTTGGTGTAGCTGATCATCATATTTCAATTGAGTCATTGAACTTAAAAAATAATAAATATCAATAAATAGAATTAGGAATGAATTATATAGGATGTCTCGACAAACTTTTAAAAGTGGAAGGTGCATCAAAATAATCATTTTTTGCTTAATGAACTTAATAATATGTCCGAAAATGCTTCGTTTTTGCAACACATATTTATAAAGTAAAAAAGTTTATTTTGATGTCGCCTCTACCACCCCCAAAAGTTTGTTGGTATATTTATAGGACCCTTTCTATATTTAAATCTTTACAATGTAGGTACTCATCAGTTTCATGTTTACAACTATTACTAAAAAAAATAATACTTATCTATATAGATTTATAGTTATTACAAAATAAATTATGGGCAGGTTGTACAAAGAATGTTGTAAACTCA